TTAAAAGACTGAATCCATATAAAACATGTTCTATGACTACAAAGGAATTAAATCAGATAATCCATAACAAAAAGATGTATTGAATAGTCTACAAGTACTTAAAAATAAAGCCACGTACTTCTTGTATGCTGGATTTTATATTGAGAAATTAATACTGGCTTGTGAAAAATATTTTTAAAGACACAAAAATAAACATCTTAGAAACTATTCTTCAGCTGGACGTGGTGGCACACGCCTTTAATCCCAGCACTGGGGAGACAGAGGCAGGTGGATCTCTGTGAGTTCAAGGCCAGCCTGGTCTACATAGTGAGTTCTGTGCCAGCTGGGGCTACAGGGAGACCCTGTCTCAAAAAGACAAAAAAAACCAAACAAACAAACAAAAAAAAAAAAACCAAACCCCAAAAAACCTCAAGTGTTGTAATATTAGACCTTGTGTAATAATTTTAGTACTGGAGAACTCAGATAAACTGAGGAGCACGAGGAGCCACAGTCAGGAAAACAGGTGGGTCAGAAAGTGATGGACAGATTCCTGAAGGTGACTAAGGAGCATATCCTTTGTATGTGTGTGTGTGTGTGTGTGTGTGTGTGTGTGTGTGTGTGTGTGTGTGTATACACAAAATAAGCAAATGTTAAAAAATAAACATTTTGGGGGCTAGAGAGATGGCTCATTGGTTAGGAGCACTGACTACTCTTACAGAGGACCCAGGTTCGGTTCTCAGTACTCACATATTAACAGCCACTGGTAACTCCAGTTCCAGGAATCTGTTCTGATCTCCTTGGGTAGTATATGCACATGGTCCACTTACATGCATGTACACAAAACATTTATACATGGGCCATGCTTGGTGGCACAAGCCTTTAATCCCAGCACTTGGGAGGCAGATTGTTGTACATAGTGAGTTCCAGGACAGCAGGATGTACAGGGAGACTCTGTCTCACCACCACCCCCCCCCAAAGCTAGAAACAAATGAAAAAACCATTTATACATATAAAATTAGAATATATATATATATATATATTTTTTTTTTCTTTTTTTGCTGGGCCTCAAGGCACACATCCCAACACTTTGAAAGTGGAGGCAGGTGGATCTCTGTGAAGCCAGCTGGGGCTACAGGGAGACACTCTTTCAAACCTCCCCCCAATAAATATTTTTTAAAAGGGGGGAGAGGGACATGTTGAAAAGTCACTTTGAATCAAAGTCAGAAGCGATTGCTTTTGATTTAGGAATATAGTATGTTTGATGTATTTTTCTCCCCATCTGCTTATGGTTAGCAGGGCGGGATTCCAAACCCAGCTCTGCTACTCACTAGGTAGGTACCATGATTTTGGTAAATCATTTTAACCTCTGGTTTCTCCCCTTAACTGGAGAAAATGCTATCTGGAGACATTGAAGGACTATCGTAAGCAATAAAACTGATATCTGTAAATAAAGGGGCCGTGACACCTGCATGTGAGTGCCTGGACAGTGGTTCTCAGACTTAAGCAGCATCAGAGTCACCTGGGAGGCTATAGAGCTGCAACTGTGGGCTACCAGGTAGTTCTGATTCCTTCCTTGGATCTGGAGTAGGGCTTAAAATAAATTGGTATTTCTTTTTTTTTTTAAATATTTATTTTTATTTAAAATGTATGAGTGTATTGCCTGCATGTAGGTAGGTGCACCCGTGTCATGCAGTGCCCACCGAGGTAAGAAGAGGGAGTGAGGTCCCCTGGAACTGGAGTTAAGGACCATTATTAGCCTCCATGTGGGTGCTGGGAATTGAATCCAGGTCTTCTGCAAGAGCAGTCAGTGCTCTTAACTGCTGAGCCATCTCTCCAGCCCTGAAAATTGGTAATTCTGAGTTTCCAGGTAATGTTGCTGCCTGGTGGTCTGTGAACCACACTTTGAGAACCATTAGGCTACAGATATATCTGTGCTATAGATATATCTAAAAGCTGAGCTTTTATGTGGTGGATAGATTTACTCTGTTCAAAAAAATTCTTGGAGCTGGACATGCCTTTTAGTCCCAGCACTCAGGAGGCAGAGGCAGGTGGATCTCTGTGAGATCAAGGCCATCCTGGTCTACATAGCGAGTGCCAGGTCAGCTGAGGGTACAGGGAGACCTTGTCTCAACCCCCCCCCCCCCAAATTTTTTCTTGACACTGGGCATGATGTCATATGCCTTTAGTCCCAGCACTTGGGAGGCAGAGGCAGGTGATCTCTGTGAGATCAAGGCCATCTGGGGCTACAGGGAGACCCTGCCTCGAAAAGAACCCCCCCAATTCTTAGAGTGTATTTTGAAAATATGGAATTTAATATCAAAGAGATTTTCCTTCTGAAGTTCAGGAATCCTTATTACATGTATTTGAAGGAGAACAAGTTGTGGAAATAGCAGTTACAAATGAACATATGGGTAGTCTAACAGTATCTAATGTACTACATGTGTGAAATTGCTTCATAAAATATGAAATGAATGCTAAGTCACAATTGAAACAATATTTTAAATAACTTTGTTTTTAAAGTTGAACTTCATAATGGAGTATAAAATAGTTTAATTAGGTTTCTCATCTCAATGTGCTGTTTACCGTATGTATTTTCTCTTTCTCCTCCAGGCTGCTGACTTGAGTAAACCAATAGATAAAAGGATATACAAAGGAACACAGCCTACTTGTCATGACTTCAACCACCTCACAGCCACAGCAGAAAGTGTCTCTCTCCTAGTGGGCTTTTCCGCAGGCCAAGTCCAGCTTATAGATCCAATCAAAAAAGAAACTAGCAAGCTATTTAATGAGGAAGTAAGTAGCACCCGTCTTAGCTGTTAAGAGCCCTTATGAGTTTTTATGTTCTTACCCAAGGGTAGTGGGCCTCATTTTACACTCAGCTGTCTTATCTAGTATTTTGTAAGATTAAACGTGGTAGATTGATGTGTTGATCTTGTTTTTCCTTGAGGTAACTAATTTGTGCATTTGTACAGAGCATGCTTGGATAATCTATAGCAGATACTTTTGAAAATCCTTTTGTACAGGTGGTTGGGGAGATGGCTCAGTGGGGAATGAATGTGCTTGTTTTGTTTTTGTTGGGTTTTTTTTGTTGTTGTTTTTTGGGTTTTTTTGGATCCCCAGCACCCATGTAAAAAGCCAGCATGTAATCCCAGTCTTGGGAAGTGGAGGCAGGAGTAGCCCAGAGACTCATTGATGAGCTAGTCTAGCCAATCTGTGAGTTCCAAGTTCAGTGACAGACCCTGTTTCAACAGATAAGGTGGGGGCTGGAGAGATGGCTCAGCAGTTAAGTTCTTCCAGAGGACCCAAGTTCAGTTCCCAATACTCACTGTTCTAAGAGAGCCTCTGCCCTCTTCTGGCCTCCCAGGCACTTGCATACACTCCACAGACACACGCATACACATAAATAAAATTAAATAAAATAAAGGTAGACAACAATAGAGAAAGTTGCAGGATGTTGACTCTACACATGTACACACACGCATGCACACACATCCCATCTGTAATGGAGAGAAGTATGACATTTGATACGTTTATTTTGAAGAAAAAAACATAATTCCAGACATCATTCAAGTCACTGGAAAATTTCCTGCAGATGGTATTTCCTAAGGCTGCTCAAATCGCAGTTTAAGCGTCTGTATGTGTACATCTGACAGGCATTTGACTGGGGATAGCTTTCTTTTTCTCAGAAATATTTGTTGTAAAATCACCTTTGACATAGCTGGGAATTCTGGCATTTAAACTAAATGACATGACACAGGTTTTGCCAATGCTGTTGAATGCATTGGGTTCTAGTGCATCTTCACTTTCATTCAGGAAGGTGCCTGGGCTGTCTGACCTACCCGTTGAGGAATGTGTCAGGACTGTTGAATGTGACAGACAGAAGTTGCCAAGTAGATTATATTTATTAAAGCCATTGTAGTGGCTTTCCAGCTCCAAGAATTCATGTTTGGTATTCTTTCTCTTCTGTTTCAGCATGACTTTCCTAGAAAATGGAAGAGATGCAGTAGGCTTGCTGAGGTAGACAGTCTGGGTTCCAATGTCACCTATACTCAGCACTGACGTGCGAGGGTCATGTTACATAGGACTCCATTTCAGAAAGAATACGTAGCTGTGTTGTTCGTTGGTTTTTAATGTCATTTACGTGGAACAGAAGCATGTTATCAATTCTAGTTTGTAAGAAATAGTTTTTGGTGTGCTAAAGAGATGACTCAGCAGTTAAGAGCACTGACTGCTCTTGCAGAGGACCCCAGTTTGGTTCTCAGCACCCACATGGCCGCTAACAACCATCTGTAACTCCGTTTCCAGGGGATTCAACTCTCTCTTCTGACCTCCACAGGCATTGCATGACATGGGTGCACTTACATGCATGCAGGCAATATATGTACACATAAAATAAAAATAAGAAATAAAGGGGGCTGGAGAGATGGTTCAGTGGTTAAGAGCACAGACCGTTCTTATAGAGGACCTGGGTTTGATTCCCAGCATGCACATAGCAGTAACAACCATCTGTAACTCTAGCTCCAGGGGAACCTGACGTTCTCTTCTGACCTCCATGGGCATGGCATTACATGGGTGAACGTGCATACAGGCAATGCATTCATGCACACAAAATAAAAATAATAAAAATATTTTTTAAAAAATAAATATAAGAAAAACAATAAATTTGGGGGAGAAGACAACCACTCCCCAAACTTGGCATATAGCAGTTAACAGTTCGGACTCCTTGTCATCATCCTGGCTTTTGGTGTGCATGTCTGGATTCAGTCTCATCCAGAGATCCAGGGTAGTTCTGTGGGTTTGGGGTGGGGACCTTTTTTTTTCTTCTTGGTCTTTTGAGACAAGGTCTCCCTGTAACCCCAGCTGACCTGGAACTCTATGTAGACCAGCCTGGCCTTGATCTCACGGAAATCCACCTGCCTCTGCCTCCTGAGTGCTGGGATTAAAGGCGTGCTCCACCACGCCCAGCTACCATTTTTCTTTTTTAAAAAAATTTAATCACAGGGACTAGAGAGATGCCTCAGGGTTAAGAGCACTGGCTGTTCTTGCGGAAGACCAGGGTTTGAATCCTGGCACTCATACAACGACTAACAACTGTCTGTTACTTCAGTTCTAGAGAATCCAGTGCCCCCTTCTGTCCTCCACAGGCACTGCATGACATGGGTGCGCTTATACACATGCAGGCATAACACTCATACATATGAAATAAAAATAAATAAAAATTTTAAGCAGAAAACAGGCTATTTACCTAAATGTTGTTTGTTTGTTTGAGACAGGGTCTCCCTGTAGCCCTAGCTCAGGCCTGAAACTCTCTATGTAGACCAGGCTGGTTTCTGTTTCACAGAGATCTACTTGCCTCTGCCTCCTGAGTGCTGGGTTAAAGATGTGTGCCATTGTACCCAGCTCACCCAGATATTTTATTAATGTCACCTGAGGAAGTAATTTGCGAGTAGTTGGGTAATTTTTTTGGTGTGGTGGGAGGCACAAAGCTTCCCTTCTCTGCACTGTTAACAAAAACTCTGGAGTTGGAGTCATCTTGGTTTTGTTTATGTTTGGTTAGAAGAGTATGTGATGGACTGGAAGCAGATTGAACACGTGCAGAGCTGTTAGTAAACAAGTTCCAGAGGCATTTCTGACTGAGGATGGTACAGAATGCCACTCAGAGAACAAGAAAGGTTACTATGTTGTGCTGGGGGAGGTCAGGGAGTTGGAGCCTACAAGGCCCAGAGAATACTCAGGCTATACCAGTGAGACCCTCCCTGCCCTGGAGGTGGAGGTTCAGGCTAGAAAGCAGCTCCCTGCTCTTCATGACTTAAGCATGAGCTCTTGTATACTCTTAGATTGTACTTGAAAAATGTCTTCAAAGTGCTAGGACTCTGTATGGCTTAAGGCCAGGCTGCCATTTGGAGCTTAAGGCTGAAATGGAGGGTCTTCACAGTAAGAAAAGCTTTGGCTATGTGGGTACATTTCTCTCAGTTTGGTCAGAGTGCCAGACATGGTGTAGAAAGTAGTCTGCAGTCTGTGTTAGCACTGGTGTGAGCTTTAGCAGATTCTAGACACTTGTGCATAGGAGGGGAGGTAGTTTTCCATTTTACAGATGAAGAAATAGGCAGAGATGTGTGCCTAGTCTACATCAGGTAGCCAGTTCATAGACATAGCATGATAGAATTGGAACCAGAAATTAATCCCTGAACTCTTCCTGGTTGTAGGCTGTAAGCCTCACCATGTTGGTTTCCAGTCTGGCCTTGCTTTCTCAGCAGCTCACAGTGCAGTAAAGATGGACAAGCAGAGTACCAGCATGTGTCACAGTCACATCAACAGAGTACTGACAGGCTGTGTTATATGTATTCTTTCATATGTATCAAATACATAATTTTCTCATAAGTTCTTTCCAGTCAGGATCGACTGGTAATATGTCATAGTTCATGCTTATCATTCCAGCTGGCCAGGAGGCCTGAGTCCGAGGGTCACTAGTTTGAAGCCAGTCTAGGCAGCACAGAGATCCTGTTTCAAGAGAAAGGGGGGAAGAAGAAAAGAGGGAAGGGAAGGGAAAGGTAAAAGTTAGGTTCAATAAGGGCGGTCTGAGAAATACTTAGAGAAGATAACGTTTATCTTGGTCTTGAAGGGCACTTATAAGAACAGGAGAAAGTGAAGACATCCTTTAAACCGAAGAAAATGACCCAGGCATGGTGGCACATGCCTGTAAGCCCAGCCCTTGAGAGGCTGAGACAGGACCATCTCAAGTTCCAAGCCAGCCTGGGCTGCATAGCAAGACCCTGTCTCAAAAAGCAAACAAACCAAAACAAAAAAGGTAGAGAAAACAAGGTGTTATTTTGTGGGACATCAGATAACACATGACCAAGTCATGGTGTGGTGGTGGTGGTGGCAGGGCTCATCACCAGGAAGATCAGTTAGAGGCAAACTGTAAAGCTCTTCCATGTCATGCAGACAGTTTGGATTTGACACCTGAAGCTGTTTGGAGGAACCTTCCAGCTTTTAATCAAGGGAATGACAGAATCAGATGTGTTTTTTAACCTCTGTCACTTGTGGAAGGTGGATTGGAGTGAGAGAAGTAAGAAAGAAGGTAGGGAGACTAGTGAGGGGACTAGTAACTGTCCAGGTGAGAGCTGAGGGCTTGAGCTAGTGTTTTAGCCGTTCTTTCACTCATCTGACAGACCTTGACCACTTACCACATGCCCAACACAGGGGTTGCAGCAGCAGCAGCAGCAGCACAACCTGCCCTTCTGTTGCCCCCATAGGGAAAGAGAGCTGTAAATAACAGTACCACCTACACACACTGAGGACCTCGGACAGCAATCCATCGGATAGGAGGGGAGCACGCAGGCTGCTCTTTCAAATATTGTATTTATTATTTCTATTTATGAGTGTATCGTCTGCATGTATGTGAGTGCACCCGTGTCGTGCAATGCCACGGTGGTCAGAAGAGGATTCCCCTGGAATTAGAGTTAAGGATGGTTTGCAGCCGCTGTGTGGGTGCTGGGAATCGAACCCAGGTCCTCTGCAAGAGCAGTCAGTGCTCTTAACCGCTGAGCCATCTCTCCAGCCCTGAGCACAGGCTTCTTTAAACTGACAGGTTGGGCAGATCTGTCAGAGGAAGTGGTGTGCTTTAAGCTAAGCCTCTCAGGAGGAGGCCACCAGGCAGAGAGCTAGAGGCAGGTCTTTTCTCCAGAAGACCAAGAGGACACCTTCAGAGAAGGGCACACCTTTCTTTAGAGATGCCAGTTAACTGAACTCAAGTTTGGAGCCTGATCCTTCCTGGTCAATGAGCAGAGGAA